TTAAACGAACCGTACCCTGCAATTTCAACCCTTTTCTTATTTCTTCTTCCGAAGTAACGCTTATCAGGTGTATAGATCACTCGATGTTTCGACACAATTCAAAATGTGGTTTAAATGGAAGGAACAAAATTTTTAAAAACATTGGATGTAGATTTTTTTAAGTTTGAAGCTATTTTTTAGGAAATGGAACTGTTGTTATGTACTGATGCGCGGTACTTTGCCATATATCGCCACGAATTGTATTTCCATGCGTTATATCGCCACGCATTACTGTGCTATGTGATATATCGCCACAAATTATATTACCATGCGTTATATCGCCACGAATTATACTTCCATGCGTTATATAGCCGCGCATTACTGTGCTATGCGTTATATCGCCACGAATTATATTGCCACGCGTTATATCGCCGCGTGTTACTTCACCACACATTATACCACCACGCGTTATTGTGCTATGCGATATATCGCCACGAATTATATTGCCACGCGTTATATCGCCGCGTGTTACTTCACCACACATTATACCACCACGCGTTATTGTGCTATGCGATATATCGCCACGAATTATATTGCCACGCGTTATATCGCCGCGTGTTACTTCACCACACATTATACCACCACGCGTTATTGTGCTATGCGATATATCGCCACGAATTATATTGCCACGCGTTATATCGCCGCGTGTTACTTCACCACACATTATACCACCACGCGTTATTGTGCTATGCGATATATCGCCACGAATTATATTGCCACGCGTTATATCGCCGCGTGTTACTTCACCACACATTATACCACCACGCGTTATTGTGCTATGCGATATATCGCCACGAATTATATTGCCACGCGTTATATCGCCGCGTGTTACTTCACCACACATTATACCACCACGCGTTATTGTGCTATGCGATATATCGCCACGAATTATATTGCCACGCGTTATATCGCCACGTGTTACTTCACCACACATTATATCTCCACGCGTTATTGTACTATGAGTTATATCGCCACGAATTATATTGCCACGCGTTATATCGCCACGTGTTACTTCACCACACATTATATCTCCACGCGTTATTGTACTATGAGTTATATCGCCACGAATTATATTGCCACGCGTTATATCGCCACGTGTTACTTCACCACACATTATATCTCCACGCGTTATTGTACTATGAGTTATATCGCCACGAATTATATTGCCACGCGTTATATCGCCACGTGTTACTTCACCACACATTATATCTCCACGCGTTATTGTACTATGAGTTATATCGCCACGAATTATATTGCCACGCGTTATATCGCCACGTGTTACTTCACCACACATTATATCTCCACGCGTTATTGTACTATGAGTTATATCGCCACGAATTATATTGCCACGCGTTATATCGCCACGTGTTACTTCACCACACATTATATCTCCACGCGTTATTGTACTATGAGTTATATCGCCACGAATTATATTGCCACGCGTTATATCGCCACGTGTTACTTCACCACACATTATATCTCCACGCGTTATTGTGCTATGCGATATATCGCCACGAATTATATTGCCACGCTTTATATCGCCGTGTGTTACTTCGCCACGCAATATATCGCCACGCGTTACTGTAATATGTGATATATCACCACGAATTATATTGCCATGCGTTATATTACCGTGCGGTACTGTAATATGCGATACATAGCCATGAATTATATTGCCATGAGTTATATCGCCGCGGATTACTTCACCACCTAATGTATCGCCGCAAGTTACTTCACCGTACTATGTATATATCATGCGCCATATTATCACATCCTACACCTATATCACCAGTAGTACGCGTTGTATTGCCTTCTAAGCACAAAGATTATCTTAAATCATTTACGATATTAATTGATTCTCCGATTCACTTGATTCTATTTGTAATCGACTCTAACATTAAAATTTAACAGAACACGAGATAATTTTGTCCTCCTTTAAGGTGCATTCGTTAGCACGCGACAACTACTCGAACCACTTTAATACTTATCCTCGAATTTAAATGTCTGATTTAATCCGATTCGCGAAAGGATGCGCCAGATTATTCCGCTAGGATTCCGAGAACCTCTTATTTCAATGTACAGAAGTTTCGATTGAATACTACCACTTGAAAGCTGGCCTTATTGAAAGCTACCTGTTGTTACGTATGTCGTCGTGATCTGAGAGAACGAGGGAAAATATAAATAAATTAATAGAACCTCTCGAGGAACGATTCCTTTTAGATACACTATCGAACACCGGAGACCCTTCTTAACCTAGTATGCAAATGGAATGTACAGACGTAATTCGTATCCATAATCTCGGTCAATTTATCTGTTCGCCTGATTCCGTGAATACCCTTCTGCTATGTACTAACGCGAATTCTTTTAAACTCTTGTCAATAGCGAAGTATCCATTGACACTAAAAATTTGTTTCGTTTACATTCCTTGAGTGTCTTTACGTTTGTATCTACTTTCAATTGTAATCACGACTGAATCGCAACCGAGCACGGGATTTATTGCTCTCGTACTCGTTGAAGGTACTCCGATAGTTTCACATGCAAACCATTATCTAGTTCACGATAAAACGCGCATTGCGTTACCTGAACGAGGATAATTTAACGCATTCTTACATACTAATGACACACTTGCTTCCTTGGCATGAACTCTCTGTCAACAGTAGTTTCATTGAACTCGGTATTTTCCAAGAAACAGTACAAATCAGCGACACTACAATTTCAATATTCAAAGTAAACTTCACAAAAAGAAACTGAAATAAAATTTAACAAAATTTAAATTAGAAGGTGACAGATAAATAGTTTAAGATTATGAAGTTAAAAAAAAATTAAATTAAAATTGTAATTATATTGTATTCCAAAATAATTATAGTCTTCTGTGACGTCATGCCACACGTGGAATAAGCGAACCATAAGAAAACGAATTTGAGAATCACTGCAACAGAGATAGCCATGCCAGTGATGGGTGAAATAGCAGCGACGGTAGGAGGTGTAGGGTAAGGGGTTGTTCCTGGTGGTGGTACGCAGAGGCAACGTGCCAGCCGTGAGGGGAGGCAGCCATGAATGAAAGTAGCGCGTATCGATTTACCCGCTGCCGCCCTAGATAAAAATATGGTAAATAGTGAGCCAAAATGGGCTACGAACCAACAACGTCATCGTGCATAACGACGCTTTTCTTTTTTCCTTTCCCCTGACTCACACTGACACTCCAATTTGATTTCAGTTTGCATTTTAATTAAACGTCTCGCCAATATTTCCAGAAAATTCAAATAGTACGCTAGCTTCCTGTAATACAGACCCAACCTAACCATCAAAACTCTGTTCAACAACATTAATAAATTTAAACGATAATTTAATCGTACTGATATGACCTAACTCAGATTTAATCTAATTTTAATCCAAACACACATCTAACCCTAACCTAACCTAGTCTCAATTGAAACCAAATTGGTCCTAACCAAAATCTAACCTAGTCCTAAAGTAACCTAACCCAACTTAACCCAAACCTAACCTGTTCCTAATCCCGATCTAACTTAATCATAATGCAAATTAATCTAACCTAACCATAATCCAAACCTAACCTAACCCAAACTATAATCCAACCTAACTCGATCTAACATCTAACATCTAAATCTTACATTCAAATGTCTGCAATATCCTAAAACCAAATATAAACTAATCCAAGTGTAAATCTAATTATTTAAATATCCCGCCAATATGCAAAAAAAGTTCGAACTATGCAAAGTGAATAATTTCCACAGAATAATTGAGCAATAATTTAATAGAATCGGATTGTGAAGGAAAAAATTAATCATGGATTCTATTGCAATTATCGATGCATATTCATAGATTTATCCATTGATTATGGATATTGCTAAGTGATAACATTCTTGCGCTTGAACATCATGCGTGTATTTCTATTGTTATAATTGCACGCTTTTACTCTGTAAATCAACGGACGTGGCCATGTATATAAGGCCACTTTTACTTCTGAATAATTTACACGACTCGCGTTGTATACAGAAATTACGTACTACGTTAGAATCATACGTCATACGTGTGCAAGTGCACACCACGCATCGAGTAAATGAAAAGTAATTCAAGGTGGCAACTTATGGCTCGAAGCATATGCGACGAACTTCAATATACTGAGTGTACCATAATCATACGAGTATAAATTCAATGGTAGATTCAAAACAATTTGTAACATAAGTTCATATGGATAATTAAAATTATATAATGTCACGTTGTACTAAATGTATAATCTAAAGTTTGAAATAACTCAACATTCAAATCGCTTCGTTGTTTGAAGTTTTTATCGTCGTGTATTCGATGCGCAATGATATGGAAGACTATGTATGTTTTAAAAAAATTTGACAGATCCTTGAGAGCAAAGTGTTTTATACAAGAATGTCAAATTGCAATGCCTTGCTAATTCGCGAAATGTGGACCTCGATGTTACCCAGATCAATGGAACGATCGCAGCGCTATATGTGTGTCACTATCTAAAATTATTGTCTGAGGGTGCCGCCATTACCCATTCATGGGATTTGTCAGAGCTCCTTGCGCGTCAATGGCACCGAAATCTACCATTCAAACGCCCAACTCCTTTGCCAAAAGCGTACAACCCAACCGTCCTCTGAATTCGATAAGATGTGCAAAAACACGCAATGTCACTGTTCTCGCAAGAGATTTCTCGGTGTCTCTCATGCACCACCAGATTGCAGATGCACCCTGCCATTATCTACAGTAACCATAAAAATATCTTCGATTCAAAAAACATTAAATAAAAATCGCTTTAGATACAACGCTCGATTTCTAAAAACATTTGCATCGAATCTAATCGTATTACAAAATGTTATTATCGTTATTATAAGATCACGCTGATAAATGTCAGTGTCGAACATTTTCATCGGATCTTTTCGAAATGCAACATCTGTTGAAAAATGAAACAATGTTTCACATACCTGGGTCATGACAGGGGTGGTATCTTCATGTTTCCACGGAGACTCAACACAGCTGGGCGTTAATGCGACAATATATCCCGGTGTCTTTGGACAAGAACGATGGTACCGCAATGGTTGGCCACCACTTCCACGCCATAACACGTCAGATATTCACATCTGCTTACTCACATGACATGTCACCGAAGGATTACCGATAAATCGTCGATAAGTGGTTAGCGTTGGACACGCGACACGACAGATATGCACGACCGGTGGTGAACACGTTTCCTTTGCCACGTAAAACCGACTGTCCCTCCGGCAGCCCCGCG